GTGATTGGGCGGGCATATTGATGCTGGTTTTTCCATGTTCTGAGACAGTGCAAGCAGCAAGCAATGTGCCAGCTGTGTTGCAGGTAGTCTACCATTTCAGTCCGCCACACCCGAGGAGACTTATGTCAAGGCTTGTGGCCGTCATGGTCATGATGGCACATTCAATGCTGTGCAAGTAGCTCTGATTTTGGGAGTGGGGGCTGTTTGACTAGCTGGCTCTTCTTGTGGGGCAGGTCCAGCAAGGCATCAATGCAGTCGTGTTCCCAAAGGAGCTCAAGGGCGATGTGGAGCTCTTGGTCCAGAGCTCAGCAATGAAGCAATGGCAGTAATGGCAGCGTTCCTAGACTCCTAGGGCCCTAGTTCTGAGCTGTCGCCTGCGGGCGAGACTCCCTAGTTCTCATGTTCACGTAGGTTTCGCTCGCATCTTCATCCTGCGAGAGCAGGTGAAAGGTCTCTGCAACAGCAACCCGGCGGAGCGACTGGCAATGAAGCCAGGAGGCCTGATGTCATTTTGACGGGCGAGTGTTCCGCGTTTTGACGCGAGACACGTCATGGTCATGCTGTTTCCTTGCCCTGCTTGGTTCCGTCTGGTCAGGCGTTCAGAACATCAAGACAGAGAAATGGTTTTCGTTGTTTTCGTGGAGCGCCATGGAAAGTCTCTCCATGAAGCCACCATTTGTGCGAGTCTCAAGTTCGCGTGAGCGTTCCAGTCAAGCGAGCAGACATGTGCAGACATGAGCTCCAGGTGCCGATGGTGAAATGCAAAACTGACCGGACAAATTTCCCCGACGAGGAGCAGACGGCTCCATACATGCGTACGTTCCACGACTGGAGCTGCGATATGGTAGACCAGATGTTCCAGGAGTGGAAAGCAAGTTGCACTTGCCCATGTGCCTTTGGGCTCCCTCTTATAGAATATACCGAAAAACCACCCTAAACCCTAAACCCTAAACCCTAAAACTTGCTTGGGATAAGAAAGGCAGGGCAGTGTAAGTGAAGGGGTCGGTGTCGGGTGGTGGTGGTGGTATAATGTAGAGGCCTAAATAATTACCTATACTATTTTGTGTGTTCCTTTTTATACATATGTATAGTATAATGGGCCCCAAAACCCTATGCTAATTCTTAAGGCCCCAATATTAGTGGCATTGACGCTGGTAGTGGCAGTCCAGTCAACAACTACCGGACAAGTGTCTGTGGAGAGGTTGGCCGGAAACCAAAGTCTTTCAGAACCGGATTTTGAAGTCGATTGGCCAAAAAATGAAGCCTCAACTCCGGGAAACAGGAAGAAAATCCAAACCTTCGAAGCACGGTTTTAGAATTACACCTGGGCTTTGGATATCCGATTCGGAGCAACTTTGGGCTTTTTGGGGGGCCTCCTTTAGGAATTCTCGTGCTGGCAAACAGTCCCAGGCCCTAGGGTAAAGCATCACTAGAGGTCTTGGTGCTGTAGGGTCTACGATGTGCAGCCCCTAGTTCCACCACAGCCTTCTCCCTGAACTCTGACACTTGTTCACCCCTTTTCAGCCCCTAACCCTAAACCCTAAACCCTAAACCCTAAACCCTAAACCACTCAACCCTAAACCCTAAACCGTTACAGCCACAGCAGGAAGCCTGAGACTCCAAGTTCTACACCTCATAACATCAAAAACCCACCAACCATACATCCTAAGGCTCATACCACGAAAGATGACCATGACCAACTACCCTTAACCGAAACACTAGACCTAAACCCGAATCCACCTAAATTCCTAAACCCTAAACCCTAAACCCTAACCTTGGCGTCCGCAAGACAGCCCATGCCGGCGTAAGATACTGCAAAGAAGCCGCGAGAGCCCCTTCAGAACTGGAAGCTTCATCCGAAGGTAGGGGGTTTGGCGCTTAGGGTTGAGGGTTAAGGGTTTAGGGTGTAGGGGCCTTACTAATTAGA